TTGGTTTTGGTTTTGGTTTTGGGTGGGTTCGGGTGCAAAGCAGTCAACGCAGGCAGTAGGCTTTGTGAGTTACGACGGTCGAGGTGTGTGTTTACGGTTCAGTGTGTAACGGAAGAATACCAGAGTCAACGATACGTCAAGCTTTCGTCGGTGATAAATAAATGATGAGCGGATGAATTGATGTTAAAGACTGCTGTTGGTATAAGCGTTACAACTGTCGTTATATAAACATGTGAACCGACTTCCGGCAATGTCCGTGATGTTTACAACCGTTTGCGTTTATCTTCGAGTTTACAAGTTGGATTAATGAAAAACAAAACACGAAGAGGTGTGCGTTTTGATAATGCTTAGATGCGCGTTTTTTCGCAGTTATGTATACAGTAAGTAGTCTCATAAATACTTTGATAAATTATTTAAATACTGTAACAAGAGTGGCTGAAAAAAACGGGTGGACCGACGGTCCATTTAACTTGTTAAATTTACTGGACCGAGAGAGATTTTGGTGGTCTCGGACCACGGTCCACCGCCTAACGTCGAAGACTGCTTGTGTATCGTTACAGCCCTAGAGTCTATGTAATTAGTTTGTTCATATGCAGGTTATGAAGGCCTATGCAGATAGTGAGGGGGTATACTCGGATGATCAATGCAGGATACTGAGATATAAGCAGGGCACCAGGAAATGGAAATCTATATGTAGGGAAGGGAACTTAGGAAAAGTAGGGAAGTATGCAAGTAGCTCGGAGAATGGTGAAGGTGAAGGTGAAGGGGAATATGTGTGTACTCGGGAAGGTCGCTTGCAGATTGTTAACACGGTCTATCAGTCATACATTTGCTGATTTCTGCCCTACGTGTTTTTATCTATGATTTTTTATGCTCCTGTTTACCTGCAGGTGTGTTTTGGGTGAGCTGTGAGGCTGGCACCTATATTAGAACACTGTGCGTTCATCTCGGATTGCTGCTTGGCATTGGAGGCCAGATGCAGGAACTTAGGCGTGTGCGGTCAGGAATCCTGTCTGAACAGGTATGATTTCTTCCGCCCCACAATCACACCCTCCTAGCTATATTCTACCCATTATCCCCACCCATATCCTACTATATTTCTCTACAAAATTTCATACCAACCCTACTTCATCCTCACTACAGCTAACCACACACTACCATCACTCCACCTATCGCCTTTCCCTCCTCATTACACAACTCTACTATACAGTATTCTCACTAGACGCCCCACACCACCTAGCCCCACACCACCCTCACTGCACCTAGCCCCACACCACCCTCACTGCACCTAGCCCCACACCACCCTCACTGCACCTAGCCCCACACC